GTTTCCAACCATTCTCTACATGTCTGGGAATTGCCGTCACAATCACGCTCCTGCTCGTGAAAATTTTGCACATAGGCTGGTGTCAGAGTCCGCGATCCGTCGCAGGTTTCGCTCGATTCGCGCGACGGGCCACTGAAATCACAAGTGCCCGATCAATACTGCAAGGTGCTCTCCAATCCCCGCCATTTCTGCTTGATGGTGATGGCTGAATGACGACTGTTCATGATTCTACTTGTTTCATATTCAGTGTTTCAAATGTTCAAATGGGCACTTGCAATTTTTGCGATCCACGCGAATTGCGCGAATCCTGCGACGGATCGCGGACTCTGACACCAACCATAGAAGTCTTTTGGATTATTGTCCAAGTCTTCTACGCAGCAGACATCCGCTATCTTTGTAAAATACAATTCCATTTTTTTATAATTTTCGTGTTGTTAGCTAACTATTGGGAGGGATAGATGCACTATTGGTCTATGCGGATGTTACAATGATGAGGAAATGGTCCAAGGGATTTAAAATGAATGTGGGGCAAGGCGCATACGAAATACTGTAATCTAAGGATCCCCAGTGCGTGGCACAACGGGACCATGAGGGGCGGTCGACTGTAGGGAACGGTGCCGCGCCACGACTGCCCGCACTCATTCCTCGTGCTACGGTTGCAAGTGGATTGTGATTGCATCAATTTGGACTATTTGTCCTTCTGTGTTTTCCTCTCTTCCAGAGACTAGCGCAAAGATAATTGTGTCTATTTCAGATGAAGAGGATCTTTGGTGCAGGAAAAAAGGAGCCGCCACCAGACTTGAGCGCTGCTGTAGCTAACATCGAATCTAGAGGTGAGAGTATCGAGAAGAAGATCGCCAAATTAGATGGAGAGCTGGTCAAGCTTCGAGATCAGATGGCAAAGATGCGTGAGGGCCCCAGCAAGAACATGATCAAACAGAAGGCGTTGAGGTGAACTGTTGGGTACTGGTATACCCGCTTTTTATTCACTTATAAGAGTGTTTGTAGGGTGCTGAAGATGAAACGAATGTATGAAAACCAAAAGGGTCAGCTCGATCAGCAGGCATTCAATGTCGATCAGAGCAATTTCGCTATTCAAGGCATGAAGGATACTCAGGTAGGCACCTTTTTTCATTCTGCTCACCGTATTTATGTGAAGGGGATTTATCCAGGTCACGGTCGCCGCCATGAAGACAGGCCTGAAGACAATGCAGAGAGAATACAAAAAGCTGAACATTGACCATGTGAGTCTTTTTGGAAAGGGAATGTGGGCGTTATTTCTAGTTTATTTTTTCTGTTTAGATTGAAGATTTGCAAGATCAAATGGAGGATATGTTGGATATGAACAACGAGATCCAAGAGGCGATGAGTCGACAATATGATACGCCAGACGTGAGTGCTGCTAATTTTGGTTTTGGTTACACATTCATATGTGTGATATGCTGCTGTGCTTGCTTCTCTATTATTATACGCTCAATTGTTCATTGTTGTGGGATATATGTGGGTTTGTGATTGAAAATTGCATGATCGAGGACAAGATATCCGTTCAGCAAAGAATTTGCCCCTGATTTCTGAGGGGTGGCCTATACTGTTAGCTCTTTTCACTAATACGTCTTCAGACAGTCATTAGGAGCGATTGCTATGGTCA